GTCTTTACCAGCAATTTTTGTTCCCCCATAGTATATATTTGTTTCATCAACATGTGGGTAGATGCCTTCTCCAAAGACATTCTTGCAAAGGTCTAGATGGTACCTGCCAAATATAAACAATCATTTTGTACGGCCAGGCATGCCGAAAAACACAAAAAGAACAAACACCATAAGGTTTGGCATTTAGTATCTAGATAAACAGAGATACAGCAATATAAATTAATTGCATGCCTTGTATCAACTTTGGAAGATCGAATGCTATCATTTGCAGGTGCAACCTGAAAAAAGCCAACTTCAGTACAAACTTGGAACCACCACAAGCGATCGGCACTATCTTCAGTAACAGCAGTTTCTTTCAAGTGTTTCTGGTCATATGTTTGAACACTAACACCAGAACTTCCAAGGTAATACTCTTTGACAAATTTAGCATAGGCAGCCTGCACGAGGATTTTAAACAGCTGCTAAGTATAGGCATATTGATTTGCAATCCAGATACATCCTATGACAAGAAAGAGGAGCATATACCAGCAAACCTTGTCCAGCCTTCTTTGCTTCAACAAGAGGGATGCATAATACATCTGGATTTCCATATTGAAACTGCAAATTTGAACACGTTGAGATCATTGCTGAGAAAAAGTAACACCAAGTCAGAGAACTGATAAGGGGAAAAATATGTACCGCAGTGGCAGCAGCATCAGCAAGAAAGAACAGGAAATCTCCATCAATGCTAAGCTGGAAAAATAGATAGATGTGAGCATGCCACGTGTGAGAATCAGAAGTGAAATTGGGAACTATCAGCAATTTGCAGCCCAACTTTTTGACATATTACTATGAAAAACTACAGGGAAAGAAAGGTTCAACCTTAGTGGCTCCAAACAAAGTCTTCAGTTCTTTATTATTTGATGCAAGCCCCTGTTCAACAAGCTGAGTAGTTTCTTGCAGCGCAGCTTTGCATTCAGGACCAGCTGACTCACCAACCTTCAGAAAGAAGGATAGCAAGAAGAAGAGAGATGGTTACTGGAAACTATTAAAACTCAACAATGTTTAGGACCCAAGAAAGTTTAAGGCTTTGGGCCCAATATTTACAGGACAAAGTCCTC